AGCATCCGACACTTCCCGGAGTTCAGCTTAAGTCCGGCGTCCCTGAGCCTCTGGAACACTTCCATCAGATTATCCAAGTGCTCCCGGAATGTCCGACCAAAGACGAGAACATCATCCAGGTAGACCAGGCAGGCTTTGTGCGTCAGGTCCCGCAGGACGGACTCCATCAGAGCGTTGCAAAGGCCGAATGGCATTACTGTGAATTGCTACAGCCCCTGTCCGGTAGAGAATGCAGTCTTCTCTTTATCCTTGGGATGCAGGGCCACCTGCCAGTAGCCACTCTTTAGGTCTGATGCCGAGAACCACTTGGCCCCTGCCAGTGTGTCTAGGGTGTCGTCGATCCTGGGCAGTGGGAAGCAATCCTTCTTGGTGACGTTATTCATCTTCCTGTAGTCGACGCAGAACCGCTGTTCCCCGTTCTTCTTCCGCACAAGCACGACGGGCGACGACCACGGGCTGTCTGATGCCTGGATCACACCTCGTTCCCGCATGTCCCTTAGCATACCGACCACCTCTTCCTGTTTCGCTAACGGAAGTCTTCGAGGAGGCTGACGGATCGGACGAGCATCGCCTCTGCTGATGCGGTGGAGCACTCTGTCCGTCCGCCCATAACCATTGTTTTCTGTCGCGAAGACATCCTGAAAGTCGAGGACCAATGCCTTCAGCTCTCTGGCTTCCATTGTCGTCAGGTTCGGGATAGCATCGGCGACCATGCCCTGCAGTGGCTTGCACAGCTCTCTGTTTTGCGACGGAGGTTCTGTATTGCCAGTCGGGCCCGCCCACGTGACCGGTTCACACAGGCCCAGGGTTGTGCCTTCCGCCAGCACTTGGTCGCCGTCCCCGACATTCACGATTCGCACAGGCACGCTGCCCCGGGTGCGGACTAGTGCCCTGGCTACGTATAGTCCTCGTGGTAAAGGGTCCACACCAAGTTCTATTATTCCGCTCGCCATTCTCACGGGATCGTTCATCCGTGCCATCACCACCCTCTCGCACCGCGCCGGTAT